ATGCAACGCCTGCCTCCAGGCTGAACGCTCAGATGTCAGAGTTTCCCATCTGTTGAGGTCTATTCCTAAGGCCTTCAGGTCCCGCTTGCAGATATCCTTGTAGCGCAGCTGTGGTCTACCTCTGGGGCAATTTCCCTGCACTAATTCTCCATACAGGAGATCCTTTGGAATCCGACCATCAGCCATTCTCACGATGTGCCCAAGCCAAGTTAGACGTCCCCTTCTAAGGTGCTTTGTTCACTTTGCCCAACTGGTTTCTGTGCCCGCATTGGCTGTGGAAATGTCCTAGGAAGACAGGGTGGGTGGGCTGGGGGTTTAAGATCAACCATGAAGTCCCTAGAGACTCCCGGCAAGCCTTGAATATCTGACAGCCTGATGGGATAGAAGAGGGAGCCATCTCAGGGGGCCTTTGGGTCTTCTTCATTTCAGATGAGATCAGGGGAGTGATCGCAGGTCTATTCAATCTTGCCTCCACCATCAAGATGGTGACAGTAAACTTGGCACCGAAATATTTCAAATATTCTTCCCTTGAGCGCGGATGGTGCTGCTCTCCAAGGCATCAGAGAAGGCCACCCAGGCCGGCTCTACTCACAGGAGGCCCATCGAGGAGGAATCGAACTCCCAACCTCTGGCTCTGCAGCTGGATCCCTAACTCACTGAGCTACCAATCCAGCTAACAGTTCTATATGCCATCAAGTCAGTTATGACGCATAGCAATCCTTTCATGGTTTTTAGGTAGAGAATCCACAGAAGTGGTTATTCGATCCCTTCTTCTGGAGGTGCCCTGGGACTGTGCGGCTCGCCCAAGGAAGGAAGGAAGGAAGGAAAGAAGGAAGGAAGGAAGGAAGGAAGGAAGGAGCTGATGATTGAAGGAAGGAAGGAAGGAAGGAAGGGAGGGAGGGAGGGAGGGAGGAAGGAAGGAAGGAATACTTACAATAAAAATGCCAGTCAGACTTAAATATTTTTGTGATTTCCTCCCCCACTTTTATTAGCAATTCTGCAGGGAATTGATTGCACCACAAGCCATGCAAAACCCCCAAACTCTGCATGGAACAGTATAAAAAAGTCAGTGTCCCTCGCTCCCCAAATCTTCCAGCACTCCTCTGTCTGCAGCCACCTCATCATTAACATTTATATTCTGCACGAACGCTGCTGGCGAGAGGTGAAAGGCAGCCAGGGCGAAAAGAAATTAGTTTCATTATGCAGTAATTACAGGAAAAATTGTGATTGCTGGCTTCAGTCTGCCCTCTCAAGTTATTCCAGCGCTGCTGGTTAAAAAGATCTTGATCTATACCATCCAGCTAATGATGAACAGATTGAGAAAAGACATTTCCTAGGAGCGTGGTCTTTGCTTTATGAAGGCCCTCCCCTCCTTTCCTGGTGCTGGAGTTGCAAGCGGTTGAGGACGCATAGCGAGTTAGTAGTCCTCCTGCATTGCTCAGGATCTTGTGCTAAATAGCAGCCATGTACCTTTTCCTGAAGAGTGCAAAGTTGTGTCAGCCTCTGAAAGAAAGCAAAGAAAAGCAAAACCATACTTTAAGGATGCCGACAAACTGGATCATGTTCAGAGGAGGGCAACAAGGAGGATCAGGGGGCTGGAAACCACGCCTCAAGAGGAAAGACGGAAAGAACTGGGCAGGCTTAGCCTTGAGAAAAGAAGACAGAGGGGAGAGAGGAGAGCACTTTGCAAATACCTGAAAAGTACAGTAGTCATCCAGAGGAGGAGCAGAATCTGTTCTCGATCATCCCAAAGTGCAGGACACACAATCATGGGCTCAAGCTACAGGAACCCAGATTTAGGCTTCATATAGGGAAAAACATCCTAACTGTTAGAGCAGTACGACAATGGAACCCTATGACCTTGGGAGGTGGTGAGCGTTCCCAACGCTGGAGGCCTTCAAGGGAAAATTAGGCCACTCTCTGCCCGATCTGCTTGGATTCGGATTCCTGCCTTGAGCAGGCGGTGGGACTCGGTGGCCTTACGGTCCCTTCTCCAACTTCGTTATACTGTGGCTCTTTGATTCTGTGAAACAAAACATGACTTGTAGTAACCTGGGAAATAAAGATGTTGTCACTGCAACAAGAAGATACTTCTGGAAAACCAAATACGGGGATAAAAGGGTTGTTACAAAGTAGCAGAAGAACAGACGAGAAAGTGAACGTTTGTCAGGGAGAAATAACAAAACGGCAAAATAAAACATTCACTTGATTGAGCCCATAACAGTATTAACTCTTGTGTTTATGTGCTGTCCATTGGGGGGGGGCGACCCGAACAGGGTTTTTGAGGTGTGTAACATGTTCAAGGAGCGGCTTCTCATTGCCATCCTCTAGGAAGTCTGCTGGGCTGATAGAGGATTTGATTCCAGACCTCCGAGAACTAGCTCAATAAAACGGCTGAACCTGTAAATGTCTAACTTTTGCAAATTGATCCATCGGGTAAGATTCATGGCTCTGATGTTCTGTTCTAAAGCTGCACTGGAAATATAACAGACCCTCTGACAAAGCACTGTTAGCCATAATAACATTCCTACGCTGAACGTTCTCATGGTCAAAGCCATCAAGCAAGAAAAAGTCATGCTCCCTGTATTTGTATTCGGTTTATGGCACATGATTTTAGCTGGTCAAGATAAGCATTCAACAATCATAGCTACTCTTTTCCCTTTTGTTTACAGGAAGGACATTTACTATAAATGTGTGCCTTTACTGCCATTTTCACAGAAGGACCTCTGTATCCGTGTGGGATTGGTTCTAAGCTAAGATCTTTATTTCTACTGGGTAGAAAGCACCCCATTTTATAACACACTTGCGGCTGCCCACTCCACCAGCCTCCCTGTGCTATTTCATGTTCCAAGCACCACAAATTCGAGATGTAGAAACCAACTTTTTCGGCAAAAGCTGTTCTTACCAAACAGCATCCCGCCCCCTCAACCAACATCTTCCTGTTCTTTTGCTTTCCTAAGGGCCCAATTCTGCAGGGAGAAGGGATCCTGTAGCGGGACATCAAGGCACTTAGGACCTGGAAGGATTCACTCCATTACTCAGACATTAGAAAATCCCAAGACAACATCATCCTCTCTTCTTTGGTTTCCTGGCCCCATAAGGAAACATCCCTTTTCGAGCTCGGCAGCTGGGGACAACTACTTCTGAAGTTTTCCTTCCTAAACTAGTTTGTTTCCTCCTCTTCCTCAAAAGTTGATGAGGAACAAAGGCTCCAGTCTCTTCCTCGGGAAATGAAGCCACTGAGTTCTGTTGAACACATGTATCGTGTCCCCCCCCAGCAACATATACTCTCTCTCTCTCTCTCTCTGTGTGTGTGTGACACACACACACACACACACAAAGAGAGAGAGAGAGTGTATATATTGTATTTAACTTCTCCCAGTCTTCAAATTCAAGTCTTCCGAGATCAACCCCGTACCTGTTTCTCTTCCTGTTAGAGAAAATTTTGTTCTTTTGCCACAGGTGTGTTGAGGAGGGGAACACGATGGGAACATCTCATGGCAGTACCTGCATTTTTTTTTTGCAACGATTGGCAGCAGGAAATGGAGCCTTTGTTCTGAATCATATCCCTGTTTAGCATCTGTAGCATCCTTGTGATGTTTTGGCATTTGGGAGACTGGTTTCCTGCTTGCCATTGTCTGTGGCTCCCCGTAAACATGGACTGTGAATGTTAAAGATAAATACACCTGCAGATGGAAGATTTCCTTCCATTCACAGAGAAAGACCCGCACAACCAGGATCCCTTTCTTTAGAGCCACAAGAGAAAGTCACGATAATAATGCCAAGATGACTCGCTCTCTGGAATTTGAGTTAAAAGCCTTGCTCTTTATGGTGGAAACAGAGTGAGTCCTCCCATTTTTCCGTGAAGAAGACTGGTTTCCAGGAGACATGGAAAGAGACAAAACAGAAAAATCTATGTGCCGTATTGATGGTCAGGAACCCCCCCCCCCCGATTTCCCTAGATCATGGATCTGCTTAATCCAGGCTCCTAGACAACAAACCACCTCCCTTGTCCACAAAAGCAGATAATAAGAGAAATATATATTCATGTTGATTTGCCTGTTTTTCCTCCTGCAGTATAACTTCCATAGAGACAGATGCAGACAGATGCGCAAATGAAGCCTGTGTTTACCTCTCCACAACCCAATTACAAAACTGGAATGCACAATGTGGAGGTGGGGGGAAAGGATATGCTATGAGAAACAGATTTTTTTCAGAGTCTGGTATATTGTAGCTTTAAAAGAACTCATCGTGATAGTTGTTACAGTAGGGACCCCTTTACATGTGATCAGTATCTGCTGATTCACTTATCCATGGTCTGAAAATATTAAAATAAAATTCCTAGAAATATAGATTTCTAAAGGTGAAATTACCAGAATTGGCCAGTAGAGGGAGCCAGAGGCCATGCTATTAACAGGGTTTCCTATTACTATATTGCTCACTATAATCTGCTTTTTCTAACAGGGTGTTAATTTGGGCAGTGGCAAGCGACAGCTTCTGCAGAAGGATGCAGGCCGTGCATTGAACCTACCCACAGATTCTGGCCAAAGTTTCTGTTGCTGATTGTCTCTCTTCCTTAAAACGGGATACATTCTGGGTCTCGTGCTCTCCACCAGGCGGCTGGCAGCCACCGCGCAACTCATACCAACCCTCAAACTTTTGACAGGCAGTGGTATCTGTTTGGAGGCAACGGAGGGAACAGGGACCTGAATTCCCCTGGATGTTCAGTCTCTGCCTTCGTGCAGGAGGGGGTACCACCTCTACTAATGCACAGGGGCTCTGTTTTCTCCGTGCGGTGCCTCCTACAAGGAACCCTGCAGTGGTCACTCCTTGCAACCATTTTTTTTAAAAGAAAAGAAATCTTGATGGGTAGGAAGCTGGATCTAAATTTATTTTGTCCTTTGAAGGCAACATTTGATATTCCCTGAGACTACATAGATTAAACGAAAGATTTATGTTAATGCCAAGGATTAAAAGAATTTTAATAGCATGCATAAAGATGTAAATGCACAGTCTTTCAGTTTTCTGCAGACGAATGTGCCATAAGGGAGCTCTCGATGGAGGAGAATGTATTCATATCCTGCGAATTGCAACATCTGGCTTAATTTTGCACTCATGTGTTCATTAAATATTAGTAGGTTTTCACTGGTGCATCCTTGAAACCACCTTTTAATATAGAGAGACGCCCTTCCTCCAGTATTCCCAGAATATGGTTCCATAAAGCAGGGTTTATTTATTTATTTATTTACTAACCATGTTGTTGTGAAATCTTGATCATGGAGGATATCATGAAGCACCCGGGCCCTTTCTCCTACTGTGCAATACAAACACAAACCCATAATTTAGTTGGTGTGGGGGGGAAATTATGTGCTTTATTAGGAGCCCTGCCATTAGATGTATAAATATACCAAACGTAGAAATTCCGGAAAGAAAATTATAGGATAGTGTGATGGAGACAGTTAAAGTGCACAGGTATAAGTCACTCTTTGTAAGATTATGTTCCATCATCTTCTCGCTGCAGCTGAGAAACAGCTTTGCTGAAAATCCATTTGGGAAGCCTGATACACACCAGAAACAGGGGCGGACAGCTGTCCCGCATTAGGCATCAGCTTCGCAGCTCTAAGAACAGGACGAAGGTGGCGATTTTTGTTAACATGGATGATTTCTAAAACGATCCTTCTTAAAAACAGGGACTGATGTATTACCATTCTAACGCTGGAAACCATCCGCGATCCTTGGAAAATATGAGGATCTAGTGTGTGCTTCTGAAGTCTACTAGGAATTATCCTGAATATGGGATTGAAATTATCCTGGAGCTACATGGTAAACATCTAGGGATACGAGGCCTGTTCAACTTATCACAGCTTCTGCCACAATGAACAGTGAGAAGCCTTGTTGGGTAGCCCTCCTGCCAGCCTTCCCTTCCTCTTCCCTTCACAGAACTACATCTCCCAGGACTACATTTCCCAGGATTCCTGGTGGAGAATGAAGAGCTGTTTTAACACCTTCTACCTGTGGGAGGCCACCTACTGATCGGTCAAATTTAAGGGGAACTTCCTCGCCGTGATATTGCATACCAGGAGCTCCCCAAGAGTTGTGGACCAAGAGGCTTCCAGCTCTTCCATTTTTAATATAGATCTTTGAAAGGCTTTGAGTAATTAAACATCAGATAATCCATGTAATAAAAATCGTAGCTGCGTTGCCTTTGGGAAGGAGAAAGCTGTTTAAAATATTGCTGAGTAATCTGAGTCGTGGTTCGCTCTTCGTCGGAATGCCTGTCTTTGAATCGAGGGAAAGTCAAATTGTGTGGCGCATTTATTAAGTGCAGGAAAAAGTTGGCGTCTTCTTCCATGGTTTCGAATTTACCTATAAAATCATAGTCTATTAAGCACGGGCTACAAAGCCTATTGACGTGGTCCCAGTGGATGTCCATCCCTACAGGCCGGTGGACATCCAGAAGATATTGGATGAACTCTTGGAAGGTCGCCCCAGAACCGGTCCTCAGGGCCTCCTTGGTGGCATTTAGGCGGTACTTTGAGATGATGGGCCTGCCAAAAACAGGGTGGTAGTAATTGTTGGCATGCTCAAACTTGTCTCGAAAAGCCGAGACAAGTTTCTCGAAAGGTTCCCGGACGAAGAGCATCTTGGTGTAAGTGCTAAGCCTGTAGTTGATCCCTTTGCGGTCAAACCCATCCAACCTCTTCAGATAGTTCCCGTAATGCACGGTGTTGTGTTGTATGACGTTGGTGGACGAAGCCAGCCCGTTCAGCACCATAAGCACACGCTTCCAGTTCGAGCAGCCCGCTTTGGGAACTTCGCAGTACAAAATTCGGTACTTATCCTCTACGAATATCCTGGAGACGTGGTAAGGCGTGATGGTCTTTTTGCTGTTGCTCTTGTACTTCAAACAAGTCTCTCTCATGATTCGCTTCCTCTCCCTTTGGGTCTCGTAGAGGTTTTTCCAGTTGGCGTCTTCGCTTCCTTCCGTTTTCAGAATGGGCGCGTTGAGGCGCGAGCCGTTAACCCCAATCAGGATGGGACTCTTTTTGATGACAAATCTCCTCCTTCGCTTGTGAGTCCTCACAAAATTGGTGGCCGTGTTTTTTCTCTGGCGGTCTTTAATGGCAACCGGCGTCTTTCTGCCTGGGCTCTGAGGCTTCATCGGTCTGTTCTGCCTCGGGCGTAAGGAAGCCCTCGGTTTCATGGTAGAGAATTCATCAGCTGGATTTCCTCGAATTTTTCCGTCCTGATTGCTGCTCGATGCGCAGTCCTAATGGGAGAAAAGAACCAAGAAATCACCAAATGAGCGAACATTCATCACTGCGGACAGCTTGTAAGGGTTTAATGGTGCGAACTATTTGTACCATTTTAGGTCAGCTTAACTGTGGAATGAGATGCATTGTCTGGTGTGCATTTTTGGCGCTGCAGTAACTGCTTCTCACCTTCTGCATTTGTATCTATTGCTCTTCACTAGAGCATCAATCCTAGAGATAAGCCTTAAAACCCAGCCAGGAGACACGGGCGGGGGCTTCCTCATACTTTGCGTGTGGCTGTACAGAGAGTTTTTGTCTTGGAGGGCATCACACTGTGTATCTGAAGGAATGCTTGAACGGAGACAGTAAAATACACACAACAGTGCCAAATATTCACTTGACCGGGAGTTGTCCTAAAGAAGAGGGCAGATGGGAAACAAGTGGGGGAAAAAAAAATCAAATTACCAGAGAGCGTAGGAGGAAGAATACATCCCCGTTTCTCAGGACAAGAAGACATGCACAGAACCCTGCCGTTTATGGTGAAATATTGCTCCTTTAATGTACCTCGATTTTACTTCGTTTTCCTTTTCATTCACTCCTCTTTTTTTCTTCAGCAAAAGGAGAGAAAAAAAAAGGTGTCCAAATGTTTGCTTGACCATGTAGCATTTGAGAGAAACCGGCAGATTCTGAACATCAAGCCAGAGCTTGGGAATTTTTACTTCGTTTTCCTTTTCATTCACTCCTTTTTTTTCTTCAGCAAAAGGAGAGAGAAAAAGGTGTCCAAATGTTTGCTTGACCAGGTAGCATTTGAGAGAGACCGGCAGATTCTGAACATGAAGCCAGAGCTTGGGAATTTTACTTGTTTGGACTACAACTCTCAGAATCCCTAGCCAACAGGATTCTGGGAGAGGCAGTCCAAAACAATAGCATTTTAAAAAAAAAACCAGACTACAACTCCCAGAATCCCCAGCCAACAGGATTCTGGGAGAGGTAGTCAAAAAAGAATAGCATTTTTAAAAAAAACAACGTGTTTTCTTTTCTTTTTTTTTATGGTAGTGGTTTAATTATCTGGCTGTGGAGCCAGAGGTTGGGAGTATGATTCCCCCACCCCTGAGGCCTCCTTGAGAGGGGCTGGACTTGATGACCCACAGGGTCCCTTCTAGCTCAGCATCTCTAAGATGATGATGATTCCAAAATACCAGGCACAGTCAATCAAAATTATAAAAACATGGACTGGTATTATATGAGAGAGACTTGATGACCCACAGGGTCCCTTCTAGCTCAGCATCTCTAAGATGATGATGATTCCAAAATACCAGGCACAGTCAATCAAAATTATAAAAACATGGACTGGTATTATATAAGAGATACGAGTTTTATCCAAAAACCCAAGTATCCATTAAATATTGACGTAGTATATACAGTATGCTGTTCCTAATATTGCCATTTTTTGTAGCGCTGTTAGTGTGATTTCTGGAATCTGCAACTGCTTAGAATACTGTGTGAAGTTTCTTTATATTGTTCCCAAAGCCCCAATGAGGCGTGTTTTGTTCCCAAAGCCCCAATGACAGTGGGGATGACTGAGGTGTGTCTCTTCCACAAGCGAGATGTTTCACTGCCAGATCTCTGTATTTTGTTAATTTTCCAGTTCTTTAGCATCAGCTGTGGTATCTTGTGGAATTGCAGTGTCAATGATGATGAGGATGATTGTAGCAACCTGACATCCAGAGTGGCGCCATAAGTCTGATCCAGAAAAAGCTGATGGACAGCCTACTTTAAGACAGATTTGGAACAGACCAAGCCGTGAAGGCCACTGCTTGTATTTTTTGGGATGAGTGGGTTGTAGGGATGGAATTGCATGATGATGAGGATGATTGTAGCAACCTGACATCCAGAGTGACGCTGTAAGTCTGATCCAAAAAAAGCTGATGGACAGCCTACCTTAAGACAGATTTGGAACAGACCAAGCCATGAAGGCCACTGCTTGTATTTTTGGGATGAGTGGGTTGTAGGGACTAGATTCTCCTGGCAAGTAAAATCTCACCTGGTGCTTTGTCAGTGCAAATGAGTTCCTGCCCATCATCTTCCTGTGGGCCCAGTGTCAACACTGGAGAAATCAAAACGAGAGCCCACTAGATGGCGCAATTCCACCAAGATATTTCTTTGCAGAATAATAGAATTATTTTCCATTCGCTGGAGAGGGAGTTTATTTCTTATTCGTCAAGTCTGAGGCAAAAAAATATGGATACGTGAAATATTTCTCAGGCAGAGGGCATCAGAGTCATCCAGCGTAACAAACTCCTAGAAAGCTACATTTCAACAGCTGAACAAATTGAGACGATTTAATCAGAGCATCTGTATTCTGAGAAATGGGGATGTATTCTTCCTCCTTTGCGCACACTCTCTCTCTCTCTCTCTTTCTCTCTCAAGCCCTCTGGTCATCTGATTTTCATTTCTTGCTACCTCCCTTCTCTTTATGGCACCCCCAGGTCAGAGAACGCAGCTTCCCAAAGAGAGGTTGAAAAAAGAGAGAGCAGGGACTTACTTTTTTGAGTTGTTGGGAGCCGATGTTGTACCTCATTCCTATAGCAAGACAGACAAAAGAAAGGGGAAAAAATATTAAAAGTTGCATCTGCAATGAAATGTTGCAGTGTCTTCTTCTGAGCAGGGTCTGCATTCCTGCGGGAGAAGACATGGCCTTTCACGCAGAGGAGTTTTTTGGCCCATTCCAGCCTCCAGATTTCTGTTGTTCTCTCATCAAGGGACAGAACTCTTTGGTTAACAAAGCATCCTGTGGAACCTTAAAGATCGACATGTTTTCTTCACCATAAGACAGCATGGGCCGTAGCCCGCTTGCCCTCTTCGGTTGGTGTTCAGTCCCCACTAGTCTACCCAGGAGTGAGCGTGATGGTCCCCTTCGCTATTGGTTTGTCTGCTTTTGTCCTCCTGTGAATTTCAAGCCTCCTCCCGCCAACCTTGGTGATACCCTCGTTCTTTATCTCTGCCACCCTTACCTTGGCTTCAGTTCTAGGTCCTATTATAGGGAGTGACATTCAGAGGTACCCAGGTTCATTAAAGGAAAACAAGAAGAAGCCAAATACACTCCATTTCTACCCTGTTCTTCCATGGAATGGATGTTCTACAAAAGTAAAAAAAACAAAAACAAACGATAGTATGGACAGCATAAAATGTACTTAATGGAAACCCATTCACTAGTAGTGTTTACTCTTTGACAAACACACACAAACACACACACATGAACACACACATGCGCGCGCACACAGACACTGTCCAAGAAGAATTAAAGGCAAGTATGTTCTCTTTAGCATAAGCTTTCATGGACTCTGTGACCCTTTCACATAGTTAGCATCTCCCACAAACTTTGGGGTGAGGACCAACTCAGTCCAGGCCTCTGAAGACATGGTTTATCATCCATGGATGCTCTCAGTGGATCAATCTTCCTCATGTTTAAAGTGCCACAAGAACTCGGTAGTTTTGCCAGCAACAGAATGCCAACGAACCCTTCTAGAAGTGGCTGGTTGAAAGGAAAAAATTGAAAACATCAATAAAAAAGTTCAAACTCCCTCCTCTCCCATCTGCTAGAACTTCGTTTTTCAGCAGCAGATCCAGAGCCGACATGGATCAAAAGATCTTTGCCTGCCAGCAGGAGAACAACTGGATGAGAGTCAGCCTTGCCTCATCTGGCAAGGCGTTTCACAGGCTTGGAGCAGCCACCAAGGGGTATTTTCTTTGGGGAGAACAGGGTGGCACAGGGCCTAGCTCAGACACAAGTGGACAGCCTAAAAAGCAATTATTCAATACATGTTGCAAATTCAGAAAATGAAAGCAGCAGGTTTGAAAGACTGTATTTTTATCCTTTTATGTGCTTGGAATAGTTGAGCGTAAGCCATAATAAAGGGCTGATTTTCTTTGGAAAGAACATCATGGGGAGGTAGGATAAGTCAGATGTCACATGATTTTCTGGATTCAGTCTCCTTTCACATCATTTCTTTCACCACTGGACATTTCAGAAGTAGAATACAGGAGCCAAAATGGACAAAGTTCACACGCCTATAGATGAGCAGCTTTGCAATCAGAAGTGGAGCTGCTTTAAGAAGTAAAAGATGTATGATTATTTCGCAGCAAAGTTTTATAACCCCACAGATTGCAAATGGACTTGCTTTTCTTTGGTAATTAGTGATTATCACTTTCTAATTGCAAAGCTGCTGTTTTGCCTAGTTTGGCAAATTCTGCCCTCAAGAGTCACCTCAAAGCATCCCATAATCTGATGCCCACAAATCCTGGAAGAATTGTGAATTTTGCTCATGTATGTCCCACCAGCTTGCTGCCTGCTTATGATGCAATGCAAAATAGCATATGCCAGCTATCTAGACGTCATTATCAGTGGTTCTGGATCTCCTTCTGAGACCTCCAGGAACATAATGTCCAGTGTATTGAAATGGGACAAGACCACCGCCACCGCTCACCTGTCACACAACAGCAACCCATGCGCAGAGCTTGGCTGCTCCACCCCTTCAGCTTCATGGCTATTGCAAGACCTCCGTGCAGATGGCTAGGAATGCTGAGACCCCTTCTTTTCTGCTGAGAAGGAAAGGCTGGCCCTCCCAGCTCAGAAATGAAAGGCATGCAACTGAAATTGCTCGTGGATGAGGCAGGCTGGTTGCCTCGTTTCTGCACCTCCTTAGTAAGCATGACGCCACTTGTCACTGTCAGCGCTGCCTGAGAAAGCGTCAGTTTAATTAACGGAGCTTCACCGTCTCTTGACTTTGGACAAGGAGAGCTGCAGTTCAACGTCGTGAAATAGCGTTGGGCACGCCACTGACAGCGGTGGCGGAGGAGAGCCCCGCTCCCTCTAGGGCAGTGGCCCCCAACCTTGGGCCTCCAGAGGCTCCTGGACTTCAACTCCCGGAAAGCCTGGCCAGCAGAGGTGGTGGTGAAGGCTTCTGGGAGTTGTAGTCCAAGAACCTCTGGAGTACCCAAGGTTGGGGACCACTGCTCTAGGACTTCCGGGTCTCAGGGAAGCCCTTTCCTGCCGCAGGGACAGATAGATCCACATCCTTGGCTCCTGTTCTTGGGCTGGCCTTAACAGGCAGAACACCCTTCCCCATTCACGCTCCCCCCCAGCACCAGGTGGAGGGGTGCAGCATGAAGGTGCTTGCATGCCATTTTGTGCTTGTACAATTGTCAGCGGAGCAAAAACAACAAACAAATAACTGAAAGCAAACTCAAAACACACAAAGAAAAAAAAATCCACACAAACACCAGGAGTGAGAGTAAGAGACTAAAGACAAAGAGGCCATAGGTGTGAGCATCGTGCAGCATCGTGCAGTTTGGAGCACAGCATTGATTGATTGATTGATTGATTGATTGATTGATTGATTGACTGAATTTCTAGACTGACCATCTGACCAATGGTCACTCTGTGCAGTGGGATGGGAGCTTCAGGGGCCCTGGCCTCCTGAGTCCTTTCACGTGGCCGCTGACCTTTCCACAGAGAGGTCATTTCACAAAGATGCTCCCACCAAACGATGCGCACACCCAGCTTCTTTGAGAAAACGGCAGCGCGCGGTTGGCAGATGCTCCAGGTCTGAGCCCACTGTCCACCGGAAGTGTCGTCTCCTGTCATTGTGTGAGGGACACCTCAGAGCTGTGAAGCCATGGCCTTGTGCCAGTTGTGGCCAGCTTGCTTTGGGCAAGCAGAGGCAGGACTGCAGTGGGTGGCGACAGGAAAAGAAGGCCAAACCAAGGGGGACTGGGCAGATGTGGCAACAAGCTGGTTGCCAAAATGCCCAGTGCCCTTTGCTTATACATGTTCTACCAGGAAGGAAGCTACCTACAAGTGCTGGAACTCGGGGGGGGGGAGTGGGGACGAAGGAAGTCCAAGAAGCATAGAATTGTAGAGCTGGAAGGGACCCTAAAGAGCATCTAGTCCACCCCTCCTCCTGAAACAGAAAACCCACCGCGAAAGCATCTTTGACAGTTTTTCAACCTCTGGTCAAAAACTTCCAGTGAAGGACAGAAAATCTGCGAGCCGTACCCTCCCTGTTCTCACCAAGCAGGGGGCCCTACAAAAAAGGGAACAAACCAGTCTTGAAATCGGAGCCACGCACTTCCCGTGCCCCTTAAATTAAACCAGAATGATAGATTCCTCTGTCTTCTTTGCTTCAATCTGGACAAAAAGACTAATGACACAAGCGCCGAGGAAGTCACCTTGTTTAATTAGTCTGAAAGTCCATTTAATCTCCCCTGCACGCAGACTAATTGCTCTCTGAAAAGTTGGTTGTGAAGATGGAAGAGGGTTAGCTTTTTTAGACTCTGTGAAGGGGGCAAAATGGGAGCGGCCGGGTGCCAGCCTGCCGAATTGGTTCCATCCGGAATGGCAGACCTTGGGGTGGGGGGTTTGGCGGGGGGGGAAATTGGCCGCCAGGTGGGAGGCCGGGACTTTGTCCCAGAGCATTTCATCTCCTTTCTCCTCAGCAGGACCAGAGACCAGAAGGAAAGGAAACCAGGGATGTTGGCAAGCCCGAAGTGTACGGATTTTTTTTAAGAGAGACTATTTGTAGTGCCAGGAAGTTTTTTCTGTTGTTTTTTTTTAATGATCCCACTAACTTTCACCTGAAAGCAACCCTCCAGATACTCCCCCCTCCTCAGGCATGGGAGATAATCTCTCCTCCCCATTCCTCTTGTTCTGCTCCAGAGCAAGAATGCTTGCTCTGCTCCAGAATGCTTCTCCAGAATGCTCCACTCCCATAGGAGTGGAGGCACCTGGTCTCCTGTCTTCCTGCCCTGCTGCTCTGATCCTGCTTGTCCACTCCACTTTCCCCAGCATCTAGCAAAACGCTTTCAAAGCCTGCGCATTTGAGCTGTCCCCGTGCAATTCAGATGTGATCCTCAGCCTTCTTTTCCTCCAAAGGGCAAACCCCCAGACATCTGAATCTGCTGTTTCTCCCCATCTCCTCCTTCCTCAACAGCTGGGAGAAGGACTTGCAGCTTTTTTTGATCTTCAGATAGAAGAATGCTTTAAGGATTTCAATAGATATGTCCTGACTTTTGTAATTAGATGAGGGGACCTTGCAATTACTTCACAAGGCAGCTCAGCTCCTCTGTCTGAAATGACAGCTTATAAAAGCTAAAAACCAGCAGGAAGAAATCACTGGAACAAGAGAGGTTCACGCACCTTCGGAGACCTTGTCTTTGCAGAGGTATGCCATGCAAATTAGGCATGCAATGGTTGAAAAGGATTCCAGACCAAATTTGAAACACTTTGATTTTTATATGAGCAAAAATCATACCCTGGTACCTCACTTTTCGCGTCTGTTCCCCAACAAGAAAAATTAAGAGATTTAAATGTTAGATTCAGGTCTTGGGAAAAAGAAACCCTCTTCCTTCTCTCTCCCACTGGAGGTTGGATTCCTTCATATCTATTTTGAGTTTGTATATCAAAGCTCTAAACTAGTAGTTCCTGATCTTGGGTCACCCAGGTGTTTCTGGACTGTAACTCCCAGAAGCCCAGGCCAGCACAGTTAGTCATGAAGGTGTCTGGGAACTGTAGTTCAAAAACA